CATCCCCACATCCCCATCCCTGCTGTGACCAGGATCACCATTCCCATTCCCACATCCCCATATCCCTTTCCCCACATCCCCAAGCTTGCAGCCTCCTCGAAGGCTGCTCTGGGCTGGCTGTCCAGGGAGAATTGCCAGCACGGTCATTCACCTGCGTCCCGGCCCTGCTGCCTGTTTACATTCACCCTGAGCTTGGGATATTTTCCATCTGGATCCTGGCAGCTGCAGGGCCCCGCTCTGGCTGTGAATGTAAATGTTTATGGGTGAGTCAGCCGGGCCAGGGGACCTGCAGCCGGTGGCCGTGGCTGGTCCCCACGCAGGACACCCGGGCTGTGAGCTCCTTGCTGATGCCACCTTGCTCTGTCCCACTGTGTCCCCACGCCAGCACCGTGCTAACCAAAGAAACCACGGGGAAAGAGGGATGCTCCCATCCTCTGGCTTCACCCCCCCAGCAGCTCATCCAGCCTCTGCCCCCGGTGAGGGTGATGCCGGTGTGTCCTGAGGAACAGGACGGGTGCAGATCCCAGGGATTGCTCCTGCCCTCCCAGCCCTGTGCCGGCTGCTTTCCAGCAGGAGCCCAGCGAGGAGAAACTTTCCTCCACCAGGGGAGCCGGGAATCGCCCTGTTTGGCAGTCAGCAGGTCCTGTGGGGCTGCCACCACCCACCTCAGGGTGCAGGAATTCACGGGAAGCTGCGCGGTGTCACAGCAGGATCCTCCCTCAGGGATCCTGCCGGACAGCGGGAGGGCAGCGGGCAGTGGGGTGGCACCGGGCTGTGGTGGGTGACACAGGGACAGGGTGGCATCAGGCTGTGGTGGGTGACACGGGGCTGAGGGTGACACCGGGCTGTGGTGGGTGACACAGGGTCAGGGTGGCATTGGGCTGTGGTGGGTGACACGGGGACAGGGTGGCATCAGGCTGTGGTGGGTGACACGAGGCCAGGGTTGTCTCCAGGCTGTGGTGGGTGACACGGGGCTGAGGGTGACACCGGGCTGTCGTGGGTGACACAGGGACAGGGTGGCACCGGGCTGTGGTGGGTGACACAGGGTCAGGGTGACACCGGGCTGTGGTGGGTGACACAGGGACAGGGTGGCATCGGGCTGTGGTGGGTGACACGAGGCCAGGGTTGTCTCCAGGCTGTGGTGGGTGACACGGGGCTGAGGGTGACACTGGGCTGTGGTGGGTGACACGAGGCCAGGGGTGTCACCGGGCTTTGATGGGTGACACGGGGCCGGGGGTGGCACAACCCCACGCACGACGCTGCCCGTGGAGCTCCACACGCCTCGTGCAGCTCTGCAGCACGGGTGCCCTCCGGGTATTTTGCTGGCACAGCAAATCGCAGCCCAGGGGAAGCAAATTAGAAGCAGGGCAAGGCTGAAACGCCTCAAATTGCCGGTTCCCCGGGCGGGCTGTGCCGCCGAGCCCAGCCCTGCGCGGCCGCGCGTTCCTGCTGCCCCAAATTACACAGCGGGGCCGGGCGGTCCCGGCCCTGCCCAGCCCGAGGGGCCGGGCCCGTGCCCAACGCAGGCAAAAACGGCATCGTAATGGCCGGTGGGAGCTGGCACCGGGAACTGGGACGGGGATGCCGGCTGCGAGGGTGGGGACGCTGGGCAGGGAGGGATGAGGACTCTGTGTGGGCAGGGTGGGATGCGGATCTTCAGTCTTCATCCCCCTGGACAAGGAGGGATGGAAACTCTGGGCAAAGCAAGATGGGGATCCCGGGTAGGGTGGTTCTCGGATGAGTAGCAATGTGCTCTCTGGATGATGTGGGATGCAGACCCTGGGCAGGGTGGAATGGAGACCCTGGACAAGGAAATTGAGCCCAACACCGGCATTACTGGCTGTGTGGGGGGAACACAGCCCCATCCCCACCTGGCCTGCAGGAGCAGGGCCGGATGCTGCTGGGACTCCTCAGCCCCGGCCTCTCCTCGCCTTTCCCCCTTCCCCTCTAAGATTTCATCACTGAGCACTTAAGGCCGGGAAAAGCCGCCCCAGCAGCTGCAGGGAGCCGCCGGGGCAGCCAGACGGACGGAGCCTTTATTTCGGGGAGCCGCGACGCCGGCGGCGACGCCGGAGAAACCCCAGCGGCGCCAGCCCCGCTCCGGCCGAGGGGACAGCACAGCATCGCTGCCCCCCACCCGCGGGGGACACGGTCCCCAGGCGCTGGCCATGGCTTTTTGGGGGGTCTGGCAAGTCCCCAGAGAGGAGCAGAGGAAAATAGCAACAGGATGAGGTCACCCAGCGGCTGCAGCCTCTTGAGCAACCTCAGGCCAGGCCGAGGGGACCGGGGCAGGGGGAGAGAGAGCTTGGGGGGCTCAAGAGATGCCCCCAGACCCCAGGACTGGAGACCAGGACTCGGGGAGCTGAGCAGCTGCTGTGCTTGTCTGGGGAACCAGGGGGACCCCTGCCTGTGTCCCTGCCTGCACCCCAAGGCAGAGGTGCCCAGGCCAGAGCATTTCCAGGCTGGGATTTTTAGGAAATGTTCTTTTGAAATTACAGGGATGGTCCTAAGCCGTGTTTGCCCCGCTGGCTCAATAGTGCCGGGGCACTGAGCCCACATCCCTCACAGTCCCCCTTGGACCCTCGGGTGGGCTTTACCCCCACCTTCGTGGATAAAAACAACATTAAAAACAACCCCCTGTGTGACCCCCATCCCCACTTGCACCCCAAAACGTGGCCCCTTCCGGGGTTGATGATGGGGGACACCGTGGCTCCTTTTGCTTATGGGATAAGCCAGGAAACACCCCCAGCCCCAGCTGGATTTCATCTGGGAGGGGGCTGGGGGCTGCTTGCCTTTCCCTGGCCTCCCACACCCCCTCCCCATCCCGGCCGTAATGAGAACAAGCTGGTCCCGGGCTGCGACGCAGGAGGAGGAGGAGGAGGAGAAGGAGGAGGAGAGGAGGGAGAAGGAGGAGGCTCCATCCCAGCAGGCTGCAGAAAGGGGCTCGAGGTGTGTGGGACAGATCCCGATTTCCCGGCTGCCTCCCGCCGGCTGCGGGCAAGGTGAGGATCCCACGGGATGTGGAGCTGCTCCCCACTTTTCGGGTGGCTCTGGAGCAGGGCACAGGCTGTCCCACAGCCGGGGGTGCTGCAGTGAGGGCTGGGCACGGTCCCCATGGCGGGACACGGGACGGAGTCGGCCACATGGCTGCACTCCCAGGTGGGAATCGGAGCGTGCTGCCTCCGGACAACACCAAAATCCTGAATTGCTGGAGCAGCTGGGAAGCGGAGCTGGGAATGAGCTGTAGGTCTGGGGGTGGGCAAGGAAGGGGCTGGAATGGGACTGGGGTGGGGTGGAGGGCTGGCAATGCCCACGGTGCCAGGCCCTGCTCTTGGCACTGCTTTGGGCTTCGCTCAGCCCCTCCATGGCCGCGGCTGCTCCTCAGCTCTGATGGCTGCGGGGGAATTGATGCCATCCCCATCCCGGGACCCCCTTCCCGCCGAGGGGCCCCTGTCTGGGGTGAAGAGGAGGATGAAGGGGCTCATCTCAGCCCCTCAAACCTTTCATTCTCCCTGTGCTGGTCAGTGCTGTGACCCCACAGCTGCAGCTGTGCCCGTGGGGAGCCAGGAGAGCTGGGGGTCAGGGGCACCTCCCACCTCCGCTGCTGTTTTTTTGCACTGGATTAATGGAAACCAGATTGTGCAGCCAGGAGAGAGCCTGGAAGCCAAATCCTGCTGCTGGAATCCCTCTCGTTCTGTAAAGCTGCTGGCTTGGGTTTGTTTGGGGGAGAAAAAGGGAAGTGGGTTGGGATTTGGGGAGCCTGAGGTTGGGGAATTGTCTTGGGGGGGGTCCCTGCTGATGTACCTGGGTTGCTGTTTTCTGAGTCCTTCCCATGGAGCCGTGTGGAGGGGAAGAGCCCTGGGAACGGCTCGATGGCGTTACGTGGCGTTGATGTCCCTTGGGAATGTCTGGTGATGTGGTGGAGAGAGTCACGTCCCTCTCCCAAATCCCGTGGGGTGCAGAGCCCGGCCAGGGGCTCACCCTGATCATCGCTCCGGGGTGGGGAGCGCGTGTCCCGTGCCCTACAGCTCGCTGTGGAATGGGGCAGATCCAGCCCCATCCGGGTGAGGAGCACGGCACAAGGACAGAGCCAGCCTTCCCCCCTTCACAGGGACACTCAGGCAGCCGGGACCCCATTCCCTGCACCCCAGCTCTGGGGCTGCCCCTTTGTCCCACACCCATCCCGGCTCCACTCAACACATGGTGGCACCAGAACGAAATCCTGCCCCAAACTATTTTTAGCTGTGTTCCAGCTGGGAATTAACGGTCTGGGACGGCGGTTGGGAAATGCCTCTTGCGCCGGGCCCAGCCTCTTTGTAGCGTTGCCTGTGTCAAAGTTTCCACTGCAAACCTCCATTTTTCAGGAATTCTCTAATCAGCCAAATGATCGTTGTCTGGAGCCAGGCGCTGGCAGCAGTCCCCCAGCCTTGAGCAATCCCACCCAGCTGGCTTCCAGCTGCACCCTCGGAAAACAAACGGAGCCCCCTGCTCTGTCAGGGCGAGAAAACCGGAGCTGCCTTTCTACTTCCATCAGGAAATTCAGGCGGGTGAAGGCTGGTTTGGGCAGCTTGCTCTGTCGGGGTATTAACGTGTCCCCCACCTCTCTGCATCCCGCAGGTCTCCTGCACGGATCCTGGGAATGGGCTCAGCCATGGGCACGTGGTTGCTGCTCTTGGTGCTGCTGGCGGCGGCCCCGGCACAGGCGGCAGCGCCCCGGCACCGCCCGGTGCTGCCGGACACGGCGGGCAGCGGGGACGGGGACGAGGCGTCGGCCACGCTGCCCGCCCAGCCCGTGACCCCCCACATCAGCCCCACGGTGGGGGACGCGCCGGGGACCACGGTGACCAACAGCTCGGCGCCGGGCGTGCTGGAAGGGCTGGCGGACTTCTTCAAGGAGTACCTGCTGCTGGTGGTGGTGGTGGGCTCGCTGTCCTTCGTCCTCCTCTTCATCATCTGCGCCGCCGTCATCGTCCGGCAGAAGCACAAGGCCTCCGCCTACTATCCCTCCTCCTTTCCCAAGAAGAAATACGTGGATGAGCGGGACAAGTCGGGGGGAGCGCGGGCGTTCAGCGAGGTGCCCGAGAAAGGCCCCGAGGCCAGCGCGGAGGAGCCGCTGGACAGCGGCCGGCAGCTCCAGGCGGACATCCTGGCTGCTGCCCAGAACCTCAAATCCCCCCACAAGGCACCGCTGGCCAACGGGGCCCAGGCCGAACAGAATTCCCCTCAGGAGGAGGAGAAGGAGGAAAAGGAGGAAGGGAAGAAGTTGGGGGATGAGCAAGCCAAGCCCCCTGCTCAAAGTCCAGGCGTGGAGGAAGCGGCGAGCGCAGGGAGCAAGGAGATGCCTGATGCATCCCAGGATGGCTGCCAGGCTCCCTCTGGAATCTGAGGCAGGGACACAGTCCCGGGCAAGCCTGAGGAGCTGCTGGCTTGGGACTCATGATGGACACGGTGGGTCAGGCTCCGTACGTACGTGGTGGCTCAAGGAAGCCCCGATGAAGATCCCATTCCCTCCCAGCTCCCCCGACCCTGGTGCTGATGGGATGCTCGTGGGGGGGGATTTGCCAGCTGGTGGTTTTCCCCAGCACTGGAATGCCATCAGCCCCAGCTCCTGCTGCCCAAGGGGCTTCTCCCACCCCAGGCACTGGGGGTGTGTGCATCCCCCCAGCTGCAGCTCTGCCCCCACTGTGCCACCAGCTTCCTCCCAAATGTTATTTCAATCAGCAGCAACAGCCTGGTCCGTGCCAGGCTCCTGGCTGGGAGCCGAGTCCCTCTGGGAGAAGGGATGGGACCAGGGCTGGAGGTCTGTAGGACATGGGTCAGCTTTGCTCATGGCCACCCAAGGGAAAGAGGGATGAGGATTTAGGACAAGGACCCTTCTTTCCTTCTTCCACCCCAGAGCCCAGCTGGATTTTTGCCTCACTTCCTGAACCTTTCAGCTAGAAATAAACATTTCCTCTGCACAGCTCCTCTCCTGTGTGTCTCTGCAGCTGTGGGGTGGCCAGGGGACCATCCCTGTGTCCTTGTGCTCCTCCAGGGGCACAGCTGGATTGCACTCCAGGGGCACTGGAGCCCTGGGCAGGGTGTTATCAGTCCCCACATCAGCTCATCACGTGCCCTTCCAGGAAACCTTTATCTCACACCCACAGCTGTGGGCTGAGGAGGGGCTGTGGGGACTCAGCCGTGGCCCTGGGGTGCAGCTGCTGCAGTGGGAACAGCAGGGAGACCTGCAAGGTGAGTGAAGCTGTGCTGCCTCAAAAGCAGCACGTCCCTGTATCCCTGAACCTCCTGTATCCCTGGGTTTTATCCCATTATGTCCTTGCCTCAGGACAACCTTCCCTTGGGAAGAGAGTGCCAGCACAAAGAGCGGGTTTTGCCCCAAAGCAGACGTGAATGTGTGAAGTTTCCCTGATTTTGTTTTTAACTGGGCAATAGCAGGATTGTTCCATGAGGGAGAGGCACATTCCTCGCTGCTGGAGGGTGCCAGCTGAGGAATCACAAGAGGGACCTTGTGAATGACATACAGCAATGTGTGACCTCTGTGTTAAAAATTACAAATATTGTGCCCAGACAGAGCAGAATGAGACTTTTTTTTTTTTTTAAGTGTGGTTTTAAATGTTTAACAACACCCTCGGCATGAAAAATGGGAAGTGAGGTGTCTTGTTGTGGGTTAGAAGGTTAAAAAGTGAAGTCTGCCAATGTGTTGTCTGCTTGGTTTGGAAATACTCCTCCAGAAAAGAGGAACTCTGGGAGCTCCCCATCGGCTCTGCATTCCAGCTCTGCTATTCCCCACCGAGCTTCCAGTCTCCTTAGAGAATCTTGGAGTGGTTTGGGTAAGAAGGGATCTTAAAGGTCATCCAGTTGCAAACCCCTTCCTTGGGCAGGGACACCTTCCTCTAGCCAAGGGTTTACAGCTGTAAGAGTGAGTGAAGAAGTGAAATTCTTAAGAGAAAACACCCCAAAATTCAGGCTCAGTTCCTCAAACAAGAGCTTCAAAAATTAAGTGGCGACAGGATGGGAGCAGAGACCACCAGTGTCTCCTGGTCACTTTTCCCTTTGGCACCTGCAAAGGTTCCCAGAATTCCAAGAGCAGGAATTTGCCCCCGGATTGCGAAACCAACCCTGACACAGCCGGAGCCAGGGGCGGCCCCACAGCTCTCACACACACATCCAGACCAGGGCAACGCTTCCCACTAAATTCCATCAAATATTAGGCAAAACTAAACATCTTCCCAAAACAAAAATTGAAAGTGCAGCCCTTCCAGTACCGGACAGCGGGGTTTTGTCTCCGGAGCGGAGTCTTCCCGCGGCATTCCCAACGGGATGGGAGCCCCCATCCATGTGAGCACTACGGGGTGGCTGGACACCACAGGGACACGTTGTGCGTAACTTGTGCGTATCTTACAGCTTGAGTAGTGCACAGGGTCCTACAACAGCTCGGGAATTGCACTGCAGAGTGAGGAGGGAGGAGGGGAAGCTGCGCAGGCGGTTCAGGCATTGTCGGCTTTTTTGTCGGATTCTCTGTTTGGATCCTGCTTCAGTTTGTAATCGGCCAAGGCAGCCTTGATGGCGTCTTCAGCCAGCACTGCAAAGCAAAAAAAAAAGGATTTTAAGGAGAACTCAAAAGCTTTTAAAACAAAAGATGAAATAAAAACAAAAGCAGGCAAGACCAGCAGCACAGGCTGATTTGAGGAGTAGAATCTGAATGGAATTCCTAAAATACTGAATTCCTCCAATTTCAATAGTGTAATTCAGAATCTGATTGTTTATTATCAGTCTGCTGAACCACAGACTCCAATATATCGAAGTGATCTGAAAATTCTTGAATTAACGCTGAAATCTGAACATGTTTTCTCTTAAGGACAACGTTGTGCAGAAACTGTTTGGAAAACAGCATCCAGAAGCATCTGTGCTATTTCCAGAGTATCTGAGATCCAGGGTTTTTACTTACTGGAGCAGTGCAGTTTGACAGGGGGAAGGCAGAGTTCCTTGGCAATATCTGTGTTCTTGATTTTCAGCGCTTCATCAACCTGAAACACAGGCAGAGGTGGTCATGGGCCTTGTTTGTGTTTGCTAAGAAGGTTTAATGCTCCAGAGCCAGCAGAATCCACAGGGGACATCAGCTCAGCTGCCCAGGGCAGTGAGGGATGTGGGAATTAAGGAATGTCTGACTGACATATCAGTGTCACACACTGTCCCCACTTGGCCTGTTTCAAGTCTGTTCATCCTCTACCAAAACACTGAGGTGCATTTACTGCTGGCAGAAATGATCTAAAGGTTCTCTGTAACTAAAATTTCTGCCATCAGCCTGGTTTTGCTCATTGCATAAGACAGAAGATAATTTCCTGGTGGAATTGTTTACTTGGGCACGTGGTCAGGAGTGGAGCTGCTGGGGGAAAGGTTGGACTTGATGTTGCCAGAGGGCTTTTCCAACCTTAATGGTTCTCTGATGGTTGTTGAGAAAGACAATTATTGCCCTACAAGTGAAGCCCTGACAGTGCTGGCAGTCACTTCTACAGCACAGAGTAATGCAGGGATTCCCTGGAGAGCACTTCCTACATGATCCCAAAAGAGAACACAGGCACATGGGAAGCTCTGCAGCTTTCCCGGAGCTCCCTCACCGTTTTCCCTTTGACCCACTCCGTGGCCAGCGAGCTGGAGGCGATGGCTGAGCCGCAGCCGAAGGTTTTGAAGCGGGCATCCACGATCTTGCCGTTCTCGTCCACTTCCACCTGCGGGAGCGTTTTGGGGACAAGTCAGTGCCCGGTTCAGCTCAGCCAGGTGTTCCCAGCCGGGCCCGCGGGGAGCGGGGCTGGCCCTGCCCCAGGCACAGGGTGGGCATGAGGGAAGCCCGTGCTGTCCCCTGAGGGGAGCTCTGACCCTCGAAACAGCCCCCTGTGACCCCACCCAGGTGCCACCGGGTCCCCAAGGTCACCTGTAGCTTCATGACGTCGCCGCAGGCCGGGGCGCCCACCAGGCCGGTGCCCACGTTCTTGGCATTGCTGTCGAGGGAGCCGACGTTGCGCGGGTTCTCGTAGTGATCCACCACCTGCAAAGACACAGCGTCAGACAGGCTCGCCCCGCGCTTCCCCCATCCCTCCCCGTGTCACGCTCGCCCCTCACCTTCTTGTGGTAGCCCAGCGCGGCCGGGGCCGGCCCGGGCCGGGGCCGCAGCAGCGCCGCTCCCGCCGCCCTCAGCGCCGCCATCTTCACTGAGGGGCGGGGCGGTGGCGCCGCCCTTTTATAACCTCGGGCGGGCTGGCCACGCCCTCAGGTCACGCCCAGGCCACGCCCCCTCGCCTCCGGAGCTCGCGTCTCCCCCCGGTCATGCGTTGGCCACGCAGGCGGCGGGAGCGCTGGCGGCCGCGCTGTGGCTAAGGCGATCAGTCAATAAATAAACGACAGAAACGGCGTTGCAGTCGCGCCAGGGTTCCCATCGCGACAGACGGCGGCGGCTGTGCGCACGCGGCGCCACACTCAACATGGCGGGCCGGCCGCGCCGCGCACGCCACGGACCCTCCCGGAGGCCCCCTGATGGCCACACAGCGGGGTGCCCGCGGTGCTGCCTGCGCCGCGGAGCAGAAGACAAAGGGTCGAGCCGTGGCCGCACTCGGCGCAGCGCTGCCCCGGTGCGCGGGCCAGTGCGGGGCTGGTGTCGGGCTGAGGATCCCGGTTCTTCCCGCCCGGTTCGGCCGGCGGTGGGGCGGAACTGCGGGACGGGCGGCGCGGGGGCAGCCGCGGCGGGCGGCGGAGCGCGGCGGGCGGCGAGCGGAGCTGCATAAGATGGCGGCGGCGGGAGCTGAGGCGGCGGCCGAGGAGGAGAAGCGGCTGCCGGAGGGAGACCCCGAGTCGGGCGGGGACTCGGATGATGAGGGCGACTCGGACTCGTCTGGGGACGGCGAGGATGAGGAGAAGGAGAACGAGGCCGAGATCCAGCGGCTGGAGGAGCAGGTGGGCCCGGCGGGGCAGCGGGTGTGGCGGGAACGGGGATAATCCGTGTCCGCCCGGGCGGTTTGGTGTCAGGGTGTGATTTTTTCTGCTCCTTGTGGGTTTCTTCCAGGTCGGGATATCCGGTGATTTAACGCCGTGAATGTCTGGAGTCCTAGATGGGAGTTGAGCAGCTTGAGATTCTTCTTTTTTTTTTTTTTTTTTGGAAGGGAAATAAGAGGGAAGTGGAGTAGGCAGTTCGTGTTCATTCAGAAATGTGAGCCGGCTGCCCGCGGTTTTTTATTGCCTTTAAGGAAATGAAAGCGCAATTCTCTCTCTGAGCAGTGGCCGAGGGAGCGGCCGGGGCTATGTCTGGGGTTAGGTTAAATCTGAGTGTGAAAACCGCCAATTTTAAAGTTTTGAAAGTTTAATAATAATAAAATGTTTATGAAAATAGTAATACAATTAGAGTAATAAAGTTTAGAGTTAGGACAATTGCAAGACAATAAAAAGCAAAGAATTACGGACGTCCAGATGCTCTCGGTCACTAAGTCACAAAAAGCATCCCTTGTGAACAAAGGAATAACCTTAAAAGCAACAGCCTGTTGTGTATTCATATTTCTCATACATGATGCATAAATTCCTTGCAAATTACGAACTTTTTTGGTTTTTGTCAACTTCTCCTTAATCCTGTTGGTTCCACAAAGATGGAGAGAAGGTGGAAGAATGTTTGTTTTTTCTGTTAAGGAAGCTGTATCTTTTTATGGGCCCTCTTCACTGACATCTCCGTGAAGAATTTCTTGATTATCTCATCTTCCTGCTTGAGCTTGTAACAAGTCCTACATCGCAGAATTTATGTTGTAACTTAAAGCTACATTTAACACACTACTTAAGAGAATTAATAGAATTAATACAGCATAACTTTCTGACGTTACACGTATAATATTCATTGTAGCATTTGCGAAAAGCCAATCATAAAATGTGCATTTTTCACATGAGGAACTCTGCCTTGCCTGGCTCTGTGATCACACCACGAGA